TCTCAATTTTAAAAAATTGACACTTATGACTGGTTCTGTGCTCCAGGGTCACACATTCATTTCTTAACTTTATTGAAATCTTTAGAACATGGATCAGATTTTTTAGCAATTTTTATAAATGCAGGCATTCATGTTTTAGACAATTTTGCCTTTCAGTAAAATAAGATGAGAAAGGAAAACAATAATTAGAACCAAAAATATTAACATACAAAAAAAACCCAGCAAAGGCCAGACTAACATAAGTGTGTTTTTATAGGCAAAGAGAAATAAATAAACAAACAAACACATAAATAAAGTCCATTTTACCTTTAAACATGTTTTACATATTTTATTAGAATTATTTTGTGACCGTTCAGTGCATAATTTCAGTGCTGTGAGCCATTAAACATCATCTGATGCGTGTTTTTCTGACTCTCTCTCTCTCGATCTGTGGCCCCCTGCGTCTCTACAGAGATTTATGAGTGAAATAAAAGCCTGAGTGAAGAATGTGCTTGAATGCAGAGAGATCCAGCGTGAGGATGATGATGATGCAGGCCGCTGTCACTCACTCGTACAGCAAATTACAGTCTAATGCAGACCAGGCCCGGTTCTGTGTTCTTACAGGGAAACCCCAGCGCCGCGGCACCAGTCTCTGTCCACTCATCGTGACGTATCGCTTAGAAAAAATTAATGCATTACAAATAGACAGGCGAGCAAAAAATAAATAATATCAAGAAGTCGATCTACAAACATTCTACAAACAGTTTGGACGCATCTACTCATTCTTTAATATTTACATTTTAAAATAATGCTAAAGTAATGAAAACTCCGGAGTAACTCAAATAGAAATGATGTAGTGATGAAACCGGAGCAGTTGAGCAGCTTATTTTTTTGTAGATTTCAGCTCTGACCTCTCTGGACAGGTGCATTATGGGATGCTTTTAAACACTAGCAATGGAGTTGCTTTTCCTTCACTATACATGACCACGTGTTCATATTTCATGCTTGTAAAAAAAAAAAAAAAAGAAGTTAATCTCTCTCTTGGCTTGCTCCCTTTAGGTTAGTAAATACAATTTTGTATTTATAAATAATAGTGTGAGTGAGTGTGTGTGTGTGTGTGTATAAAACAAATATATATATATATATATTAGAGACACACAAATGTAATACAATACAAAATAAAATACATTATATATATGTATATATATATATATACATATATAATAAATACACAAACGTATCTACTAAATATAAATACACACACAAATGTAATACAATATAAAAAAAAGATATGTGTGTGTGTG